GGACAAGGACAAGGACAAGGACAAGGACATGGACAAGGACAAGGACAAGGACATGGACAAGGATAAGGACAAGGACAAGGACAAGGACAAGGATAAGGACAATGACAAGGACAAGGACAAAGACAAGGACAAGGGCAATGCCAAGGACAAGGACTATGATAAGGACAAGGATAAGGACAATGAAAGACAAGGATAAGGACAAGGACAAGCACGCCCCCGGCCCCCCTCGTGCGCTGCACGGAGCGCACGGACACGCGTGACAGCGCCACGGAATGCCCGTGGCTGTGTGTGCGAGACTGCCCACGTCTGTCTGTCCGTGTGTGTGTGGATGTCCGTGTGTCAGTGTGTCCGTGTGTCGCACGTACGCCCCGTCCGTGTGTCCCCATGTCCGTGTGTCCCCGTGTCCCCATGTCCATATGGCTGATGTCCGTGTGTCCCCATGTCCGTGTGTCCCCGTGTCTGTGTCCCAATGTCCGTGTGTCCCCATGCCCATTTGTCCATCTGTCCATGTGTCCCAATGTCCATTTTTGCATCTGTCCCTGTGTCCCCATGTCCGTGTGTCCCCCGTCCGTGTGTCCGTGCATCCCCGTGTATCTGTCCATGTGTCCCAATGTCCATTTTTGCATCTGTCCCTGTGTCCCCATGTCCGTGTGTCCCCCGTCCGTGTGTCCGTGCATCCCCGTGTCTGTGTGTCCGTGTGTCCCCAATGTCCATGTGGCCCATGTCCCCATGTCCGTGTTCCCCATGTCCGTGTGTCCCCGTGTCCGTGTGTCCCTGTCTCCCCACGCCCATGTGTCTGTGTGTCCGTGTGTCCTCATGTCCACGTGGCCGATGTCCCCATGTCCCTGTGTCTGTGTGTCCATGTGTCCCCATGTCCATATGGCCGATGTCCCCCTGTCCGTGTGTCCCCATCTCCCCATGTCCGTGTGTCTCTGTATCCCCCTGTCCGTGTGTCCGTGCATCCCCGTGTCCGTGTGTCTCTGTGTCCCAATGTCCCCATGTCCCTGTATCCCCCATCCATGTGTCTGTGTGTCCCTGTGTCTGTGTGTCCGTGTGTCCCCAATGTCCCTGTGGCCCATGTCCCCATGTCTGTGTGTCCCCATGTCCGTGTGTCCTCATGTCCACGTGGCCGATGTCCCCATGTCCCTGTGTCCCTATGTCTGCGTGTCCGTGTGTCCCGACGTCCATTTGTCCCCATGTCCGTGTGTCCCTGTGTCCCCGCCTCCATGTGTCTGTGTGTCCGTGTGTCATCATGTCCATGTGTCCGTCTGTCCCCATGTCCGTCTGTCCCCATGTCCCTGTGTCCCAATGTCCCTGTGTCCCCGTGTCCGTGTGTCCCCGTGTCCGTGTGTCCCAATGTCCGTGTGTCCCCATGCCCATTTGTCCCCATGTCCGTGTGTCCCTGTGTCTGTCTGTCCCCATGTCCCCGTGTCCCTGTGCCTGTCTGTCCCCATGTCCCTGTGTCCCTGTGTCTGTCTGTCTGTCCCTGTGTCCCTGTGCCTGTCTGTCCCCATGTCCCTGTGTCCCTGTGTCTGTCTGTCTGTCCCCATGTCCCCACGTCCCTGTGTCTGTCTGTCCCCATGTCCCCGTGTCCCATGTCGATGTGTCTGTCCCCATGCCCACGTCTGTCTGTCTGTCCCCACGTCCCCACGTCCCTGTGTCCCTCTGTCTGTCTGTCTGTCTGTCTGTCCCCACGTCCCTGTGTCCCCCCCTTGGTGCCTCCAGACTCTTTGAGGGGTCTCAGGGGGACCTGCGGAGGTCCCGGGGACGTTTTGGGGGGTCCCGGGGTGGTTTTGGTGTGTCCTGGGGTGGTTTTGGGGTGGTTTGGGGTTGTTTGGGTGTTTTTGGGGTGTCCTGGGTGGGTCTGGGGTGGTTTTGGGGTGTTTTGGGGTGGTTTTAGGGTGTTCTGTGGTGGTTTGGGGGTGTCCTGGGGGGGTTTGGGGGTGTCCTGGACCCCCCCTCAGTCTTTGTGA